TTTCCCAATTAACCTAACAGAGAAGAGGATGTTGTAATGTTCATTCCGCAACTCTTTAAGGGTTAAATCTATATCTGAGACCATCTGGAAGCACAAGCAGCCAGCATTTGGGTCATAACTCAAGACTTTGGTCATAAGTTAAAACTAAAACTCTGGGCATAACCCAAGTTGTTCCCACATCAAGCCAGTCGTAGCTCAAAGGAGCCACTGTACTGACATTTCTCAATTTGAGAATGCAATTTGCCTAGTGTGTACAACACCCTAGTCTCAATTTCCAACACTGTAACAAATTTTTTTGAGAATGGAGACGACCTGAGAATTTATTCATACACTGGCTTGAGAAAACCTGCTTAAAAATTAAATGCAGGGGGCCTAGGATTTGGAACAGTGGTTTCGCCACCTGCCTGGCAAGCGCAAGGGCCAGAGTTTGATCCCGGTACCAAAAAAAAAAAAAATTAAATATATCAGAGGCCAGGGATTTAGCTCAGTGGCACAGCGCCTGCCTCTCAAGCACAAGGTCCTGAGTTTGATCCCCAGTACCAAAAAGAAAAAAGAAAAAAAAGTTAAATACATCACACATTTACACCATGCTTAACAATGGAAAACAGAGAGGAGCAAAAACTTCTGAAATGGTATGGCACTGGGCTAGGGATTTTTAGCTCAGTGGTGCTGCCACCTGCCTCACAATCAAGTTTGATCCCCAGCACCACCCCCCCAAAAAAAAGAAAGAAAAGAAGTGCTATGGCAAAACTCAGCCACAAGCTGCTCACCCTGTGATCAAAATGCTGTTAAATTTTTTAGACTTTACCAAAACAAAAACATAAAACTGAAAACTTCTTACAGACTGCTGAGACTATACCTAAGTACTGACATTTTTTCCCCCTAGTACCAAAGTTTGAACTCAACACTTGTGCTTTCCAGACGGGTGTGGTGCCACTGAGCTACATCTCAGCCCCCATCACTGACATTTTAAGAAACCTAACACAGGCCAGGGATTTAGCTCAGTGGTTCCACCTCCTGCCTCACAAGCACAAGGACCCGAGTTCAACCCCTAGTACCAAAAAAACAAAAAAACTAAACCTAACACAGAACAAGCTTAAATAAATGTAATGTAGTAACTTCCAACTTCTAAACTCATTTTGTTTTTTTTTTTTTGAGGTAAGAGTCTTGCTAAGCAGTTCCTGCTGGTCTTGAACTCACTATGTAGTCCACGCTGGCCTTAAACTTGTGGCAATCCTCCCACCTCAGCCTTCTGAGTGCTAGGATTACAAGCATGCCTTATTTGAAATTTGGAACTGAACACATCCTAGTTTTTAATTTTATCACAAGATTACTTTGCAATTACTCTAACACAGGCATGCTTACAATAAAAGAAAAATAATGATAGTGTATTACCAAGCTTTACAAATACTACTCTATTTGCAATAAAGCTGCTCTCCTGTGAAAAGCATGTTAGCCAGGTGTGGTGGCACATGCCTGTAATTCCAGCCCTTAAGAGGCTGAAACAGGACGATTGCTACAAGTTCATGGTCACCTTCCAGTCATTCTCTCTCAAAAAAAGCATATATGTTTATTTTCATTACGGGATAATCTAAATGTGTAGGATCACTGTATATAGAGACTTGTTTTAAAAGATAAAGGGGCTGGGTGTGGTCAGGCACACCTGTAATCCCAGCACTTGGGAGGCTGAGGCAGGAGGATCCCTGTGAATTCAAAACCAGCCCAGGCTACTAGTGAGTTCCAGGTCAGTCTCAACTACAGAGTGAGACCCTGTGTCTCGAGCCGGCGACGCAGAGCACTGTCCAGCAGTGTCTCAAACCTGAAAGAGCAGCGGGGTGGAGATGGGGCAGAGAGAAAGGAAGGACGCCAAGACAAGAGTCTGATTAAGGCGGCGTTTATTGCCGGCAACAGTCCGCCTTTTAAAGCAAAAAAACCACAAACTATTATGGGATGGGGTTACCAAAGTAACTGAAAGGTTACACAGGAAAAGAGCAAACAAGCTCAACAAAAACAACCCACCATGGGTAGTAGTAACCTGGACAACCACACATCTAAAGGTCAGAGCCAAGAAACTAACTTTCAGGAATTCCACAAAGGAAACACACCACCTGCTAAACTGGAGAAACTTAACACATATGGAGTTATTAAAGTTAACAATACTTACGACCAATACTCATGATCCCCACAACCCTGTCTCAAAAATAACAAAAAAGCAAAAACAAAAAAAGATAAAGGGTCCAGGCTGAGGCTTTAGCTCAATGGCACTCTACCTGCCTTGCAAGCGCAAGGTCCTGAGTTCAATCCCCAGAACTACAAAAATAAAAGATAAAGGGCCCTAAAAGGTTCAAGTAGTTGGAACAATATATTTAGGGGCCCTAACAAAAAGATAATAAGGACACTGTAACACCACATACTTCCACATTTGCCTCCCCCACACACCAACACAAGATTTTCAATCATTATACAGAGAGAAGTCACTTCTGAAACTAGTTCCGAGACATGTATCTCAAACCATACTCCAGCAAGGAAATTTTTTCTTAGTTGATTAAATGATCAAAACAATTATGCAGCAGGGATGTAGCTAGCTCAGGGGTGCCATGCCTGCCTGGCAAGTACAAGGTCCTGAGTATGACTCCCAATACTAAAAAAAAAAAAAATTATACATCCAGCTGTGCTATTACACACCTGCAATCCCAGGACTCTAGGAGACTGAGGCAGGACTGTAAATTTGAGCCCAGCCTGGACAACTTAGCAACCTAAGACCCTGCCTCAAAATAAAAATGAAAAAGAGCTGGGAATGTAACTCAACAGGAAGGCCCTGGGTTCAATTCCCAGTATCAGAACACACACACACAATCATGCTACTCAAAAACCTTAGGAACAACAGTATCAGTATCATCCAGGGAAATCTATGTACTTTTTCCTCTGCAATATTGTAGTAGGACATCAAACGCAGGAGCACTCTGCCACAGAGCTATATCCCCCGCTCTTTTTAATCTTTGATAGGGTCTTTCTAAATTACCAAGCAGAACCCAAAGGTGAGCTCCTCCTGCTTCAGCCTCCTTCAGGGCTGAGATTACCAGAGTACATTTGACTAAAAACGAAAGAACCTCGTGAAAATGGACCACAGTCCTTCCTTACAGACTTGCAAACACTTCTGGGAGGGCAGCCTACTACTGGCCTTTAGTGATGCTGAGGAAACACTGAGTATGTACCCACAGCACTGTAGTAAAGAAATGCATACATAGCTGGACATCTCTGTTGAACAAAGAAAATTATCCTGGTTCATGGGGCTTTTCATATTATAGACAGCTAAGTTAGATAGAAATTAATAAGTAGTCAGAGAGGGATTGGGCCCTCAAGGAAGTCAGCACAGAAGATGAGACAAAGATTGTGGCTGGAGGTGAATCTGAAGAGAGCCAGGCCTTGAGATGAAGAGGCCAGGCCTGCAAGATAAATGGCAATTTGAGATGATACTGTAATCACCACCGCCTGTTCCAGTGGGCCCAAAACACATCAGACAGATAACTGGCAAGAATTCCTTTGTTCTTTCCATGTACTCTTGCCACGTGACTTGTTTCCCTATTGGGTCGATATTAGCTAAGTGACTAGTAATCCTATAAATTGACTGCAGTTTGACCCACACTGTGCTTTTGCTATGTAAATTGTTTGTTTAGACAGGGTCTCACTATGTATTTCAGACTGCTCTGGAACTCACTGTGTAGCCCAGGCCGGTCTCAAACTCAGCCCTCCCGAGTGCTGGGATTACAGGCATGCGCCACCACGACCAGCTTGCTATGTAAATACATACTCTTGACATAGAGCCTTTAGTGGTCACACACTTGGGACCGGGCTGGTGGAAATACAGAAGCTATTTCTATTTCCAACGAAACTCTTAACTTCCTTCTTTGGCTCAGACTTCATTCCGCCATGTTGTGAGACCACAAACTCAGCTCATCTGACATCTAACAGGCTGGAGTTATTTTCCCCATAACAATCTGAAAAATATTCTGGGAGGAAAGGATTATGTCTCAGACTTTAAGATACTGCTTATAAACTCAATAAGTTCTTACTATACTTTTCCCACTAAATTTCAGGCCCTTGCTTACAGATTTCATTTTTCAGTAAAGCCCATAATACTTTGATTTACAAGGCAACACTTGCAATAAAAAAAAAAAAAAATCCTCTCTCAATCAAGTCCTACGGATCCATTAAAACAAGGCAGGTTGTGTTAGTTAATTCACCACACGTTTTATTTGCATACTGTAACGACCTCGCTTAAAACTAATCTCCTTTGTTCCCAACTTCCCCTCCACCCAAGCCCCTCAGGAGTTCAACAGCCCAGGACTCTGGTCCTTTATGAGAAGCTCCCAAACCCTCAGAGATGCACCCGTAGCCTAAAGCGACACTTTCCCCTTCCATTTCACTCTCTGAACTGCCCAATCGGCTTAGTCCAGTCGCTAGGTCACTGCCCCTGCCCACCTCGACCTTGACCACCGGCCTCACGCGTTATGGGAAAAACCCTTCCCTTCCTCCCTTGACTGGCCCCCCGACTCGCGGGTTACTTGGACACACAACCCAGCCCCGACCACCTCCTCAGCCCTCGTCTCCTCCGCCCTTTTTCTGAGATCTTCCTCGCTCCCCTTTCCCAGGAATTCGGGAGACCCCGCGTCCACCGTTCCTCGCGGCAGCCATTCTCCAAGTCTCCCCAGCCCCCCCACACAACTCCTCCCCGCCCACCAACATTCTGTTCCCTGCTCCTTGGCTCCCTCAATTCCTCAACCCCACTTCTCAAGCCCTCCGAGACCCCACAGTCCTGAACCCCTTTCAAACACCGCATGCTCGCTCCTCGGAGCCGCAGAGACCCTGACCCAACTAGACACAGTCGAGAGCTCCGGGCCCGCGGAAGCGCCCTTTCCCTGGTGGGGCCTGCGTTCCGACCCGTGCCCGGCCTTCGGCGCCCTCTCGCGCCCGCGGGAACCCGATCCCCCACCATTTACCAGCAGTCAAAAGCGACGCCAGCAGGAGCACCAGCACCAGCGGCCGCGCCAGCCCTCCGGAGACCTGCATTCCCGACCCGGGGAGCAGCTTCGCGTGCCCGGCCCCTCTCATCCTTCCCAGGGCGGCCATAATGGACTCGGCCGGGAGCCTGCGCTGTTGCTAGGCTTACGTCATGACGTCAGATATGCGCAAGGCGCCGCGGGTCTAGGGAGTAACGTCCCAGCGTGATGTCGTCACAGCCTGGCGCGGAGCTAGGAGAGCAAATCAGGATGAAAGATAACGGGAGTTACGGCGCTGGCAGCGGTCCGCGTTCGGCTGTGGGCTAAGCACCGGGTGTCTGAGATGCTGGAGGAGACCACATGATGGAGTACTAGACAGCCAGTAGAAGTTTAAAACATTCTTAAAGGAAGATCCAGCCGTGTTGACTGATAACGAAAGTGAGCTTCCCTCCTCCTCCGCAAAGGTGAGGGAAAAGCGAAATCAATAGTGGTCCCATTTAGGCGGCGATATTGTAACAGAACGAACCCCTAAGCCCTTATGCTTTATTTTCTTGTGGAGACTGTAAGTAAAACGTAAGAAATGTAGGCTGCTAAAGTCATTATGAAGGAAAGGCAGGGTAGGGAGTAGGGGTGAAGAGTCGCCACTGTGAATAGCTTCCAGATTTCCTAAAACACGTTTTATTATTTTTAAATTTTGTGACTTAAAACTCCCAGTATATAAAAATGCAAGTTTATAAGCCTCCAGCAAATTCACTAAGGTCCCGGCACAATGCTTTGGTCTGTGTCTACATTCTGTGAATGTTTCCTTAATAAACAGCTAGAGACTTTGATTCATGAAATCCCAGGTGATCCGTGTTTATGAACATTAGTGTGGTATAAAGACATTTATTGTACCCACAGCTTTAGTACTGTCTCTATGATTCCCTCAGAAGATTGCCGCTGTCCCCAGACAGCCGAGCTGCCTCTTTACAGAATGAGAAGGGCCTGTGTTGTAGTTTCCCCGCAGCATCTATCTGGCCCCAGAGACAGCTCAGAAACACATAAACTCTGTGTCAAGAAAACTAAGAAGGCATTCATGTGTTCATTTTCCAAAGTGCCACAGCCGGTATAGATGGACCAGTGCCTTTACTGCAGACCTTCCAGATTAGCCCAGGCACGCAGTCTACCCAAGTGGCCCAGGGGAGCTTTCACTTTTTAAATACAGAAAACACCACTTGACTTAACAAATACTCCTCTAGCCTAGCTTTTGTTTGGAGACTGCTTGAGACTTAAATAGGAATTTTTCTGTAATAAATACTTCAGTCCTCTTCCTACATCCTGTCAACTTAGTCCATTTGTCCTTGTAAAACCATCTCAATTCAACTGGTGAGAAATTATGAGCTCAAACCATCTTTCACTCTGATATTCCAATACACTGCCTCCAAAAGGCACTTAGTAACTGGTAAGCAGATACTCCCTTTTACTCAAAGGACCCCATATTCATTTCAATATAGTTAATACTGGGGGCCAGGGATTTAGCTCAGTGCACTGCTTGCCTCGCAACTGTACAGTCTCGAGTTTGATCCCCGGTACAAAAAGTTTATAACTAGCACCTGACCTCATCTGCCCAGCAACCTTGTGTGCCGGCAGCTCTGGACAAACTCTAAACATTCACTTACAAACAGCTGCAAGTCTTTATAAACCAGAAGACAGCATGACAAATACTAAGGGCATCTTTTTGGGTAACCAGTTACACAAATGCTACGACTAAATCCTATACCTGTTTTGAATGTCACTTTCAAACATCCAAAAAGAGGAACTCCGCCTAACATCATGAAAGGAAAACAATGTCAAATTTGAAGCTGGATTATATTCGTTGCTATTCTTTGTATATGAAATTTCCACAAAGTATATATAAAATCCCAAAATGATCCACTGTCCATCCACAGAGAGAACGCTGTGAATGTGGATATTATACCTGTGATGACACTGCTTTACCCAGCAGCTAAAGTTTATGTTAGATTATTCTCCATGGCCCGACCTAACCAAGTGAGCCCTGAAAAGGGACAAGGCTCTTCCTGCAGGAGACCTGAAGCACAAAGGGAGTAAGACATGAGGGGACGGAGGAGTGTTTCTGCTCCTGGCACCGCAGGTGGGAGGGAGCACATGGCAAAGAGGGCTGGTGACCTCCCGAGCAGTGAGGGTGGACTTCAGCTATCAGCAAGGAAATGGGGACTCAAGCCTACAATCAAAAAGAACTCAAGTCAGCGGCACCCAGGCAGGCCAGGAGCAAGACCTCCAGGCTCTTGCTGGGACGAGAACACAGCCTGGATGACAGCCTAATTTCAAGCCCTGTGAGAACTTGTCTGGTTTCTGACCTGCAGAACTATAATATACATGAAGGTTCTTTTAAGTTTTAAGTTTATGGTAATGTCAGGCATCAAAAGAGAAATAATATAAACTATATACACAGAGCAAGGCAAGGGGAGGACAAATCTAAACAAGTTCCCTGTACAGTTACACTTTGATTAATAAAGACAACAGAATGATGAGGTTTCAATATTTTATTCAAGTTTTATCTTAAGTGATGCTAATTACAGCATTTGAAGGAGAGGATCTAATTCCACACAAAATGGAAGACTCCAAAATGTACTCATTAAACTGCTGAAAAATCAACTGGTAAGAATACAACATAAGCCCAATTGAGATTCCTAGTGTTGTCACCGTGTGATCACAGTCACGCACGTCCCAACTTGTTGCTGGTCATACACTTGTGCAAGGGCAAAAAAAACCACAACATGAAAAGGAATTAAATCCTGAATGACTGGCTTCATTACATCCACCTTCTTCACCCCAAAATGGCACAAAAAAAAACAGCTACCACACCCTGTGGACTACTTTTGGTGTAAAAGGTGATGAGGGGCTAGGGTGGGAACCGGTTGTGAAGATCTGTCTAAAAAAGTCCCTTTCAGACGAATTTGTACACACCAGCAAGCCTTGAGCTTCTCACCAGTTAGAGTTAGGAAACTAAGGTCTGACTCTCAGAAAGTCACCATTTCATTCATTTACTCAATGCAGATTTACTAAGTGTCTACACATGATCAGCTTTCACTTGCAGTCACATCTAGATTTTTAAAAAGGGACCTGGCATCTTTCGAGGGGCTACCTAGTTCCCCCCAAGTCTACACCTGAAAGGATCTTTTTTGGAATCCGGCTTCTCCTGTACCTCTGAATTGGTAACACCTTAAAGCTGAATCATCTTTCACCTGGAGGTCTAACATGATTTTGTTTTTTTGTTTTTTTTTAGCAATTCTTGCATCCCAGACATACAACATTAAAAGGTACACTAAATTCTGAAGGTAGCTATGCTGCAAAATAGTTTAAAATTAACAATTGTACAGTATTCATTTATGCTTGAAATTCCAGTCCTAGACCAAGTTTGTGGCCACCGGCGTTGACATTCTTGCCATCCAGCAGAGCTGACAGTGTCAGCTTGATTCCTGCAGGAGGGAGGGGTTGGAAGAAATCAAAGAACGGTTAACACCAAAGTCAGTCTCCAGGTGCAATCAGCAAGGGCCAAAGGATGGGCCCCTCAGTCCTTATTACTTAACACCATCTGAGTGACCAGAACAACTATTCCTACTCCACAGGCCAGAGAGCCTGCTTACATCCACTTCTGAGACCTTCCCTTTCCTCTCATCCCTCTGCCACAACCACTCTGCCTTCCACTGGTACCACAGGGTCAGCTCCCTCAGCAACCGTCTCATGAAGGGAAACCCCAATTCCAAATCAGACTGAGCTTTACATTTGCCTTCGCCGTGTGCACACATGTGGAGAAATCACAGGCACATAGCACACTGCTTTCCCAGGAGCAGTCTTAAACTTAGATTTAGCGGACCCATTTTCCCAAGAGTAACTCAATTCCTAAATCATGTCATCTCAGGCTCTTGGGGCTCAAAGGTGACAGACTAGCCCAGCTGACAACGCACCAGAGACCTTCAAACCACTTGTTCTATTTCTTTGTCTTGTTATCATGATGGCAAGTTACAGGTCAGTTGTGACAATTGGCTGGAAATAAGTATCAAACATGTACACAGTAGGAAAAAGGAAAATTATATATGTATACATACAATTAGCTTTGATCTTTTTTCTCCTACTTACCGTTTCTCATACTGTCTAAATGTTTTACAATGATCCTATGACTTCTTTATAAATATTCAATTACAAAGCTTCATATACATCTACTTTCACTGACCTGTAGAGGCATTTTATAAGAAATAGTACAATGAGCAAGCCCACACCATAGTTTTTCGTTCCTCTGGGGTTTTGTTTGTTTGTTTGTTTGTTTTCTTGGTACCGGGCATCGAACTCAGGACCTTGGGCTTGCAAAGCAGGCAGTGGAACTCCTGAGCTAAATCCTGGCCCTACAACACAGTTTAAGAGAACTAACTTCACACACGAGCAACACACACCTGGCTTTAGGGTCTGAGTGTATCCTAAACCAATCAGGCTGGAGTTGTTCACCTTGGCCTAGACAGGAAAAAGATAAAACAGTGAAAATGGTAAGTGTTAAGTGTTTCATTCTTGCAGCTACAAAATCAGTAAAAGCTTCTTATTCCACCAAGTCTGGGCTCTACAATCAAATCATCTTTCTTCATCATCACCTCATTTTTGAAACACAATATGAAATAAATGGACGGTGGATGAGAGGGTACAATTCTCCTGCTCAAGTGCTGTGAGCTCCGACATTCTTCATTAGAGGCGAGGGAGAACGAAGGCTGCTGGCAAGCAGCACCCCTCCTGCTCCTCTTCACTCGTAACATCTTCACAAAGAGGCCCTTCTCTCTAGTTTTTAATGTGCCTAATGTTGAGGAAGCCAAATTCAGTTCCTAGTTCAGCAGACTTAAAACGGACTGTCCACAAATTATACAAGCCAGCAGACACCATTCGGCAACGTGAGGCTTCCTCACTGCGCCCCAGAGGCGTGCAGTGTCACAGTACCTGTGACCACAGCAATGGGTCCAACAGGATTGAGTACAGAACCTGTGCAATTCAACCACCCGTGAGCAACACCAACTGCCTACCAATTTCTTAATGTGTGCGGCAGGAACTAAAAACAAGAATGAAAAAGGAGGAATAAAATAAACACTTAAAACTCTGGGCTTCAGAGCTCCCCAGGCAGAGAGAAAGACTCAGTAA